AAGTTCGCGGCGTCCGCCGAAGAGATGGAAGGGGTGCTCGCGGCGTCTCCTGGGTGGAGAAGCTTCAGAGTGAAGAATGCGTTGCGCATTCGACAGCCCTCGTCGCGGTGCCCGGATCACGGGCGGCACAAGAAAACTCCCGCGGTCGTGCTCGCAGGCAGCGGGCCGCGCCGCGTGGTGTCCCAGCGATTGGGCACCGCGGTGTGGGCAACCGGGAAACGCGGACGACCGGTTCGCAAGGTTGCCGTGCTTCACGCCCAGAACGCCGCCGCCATCCAGCTGTGGACCGTCCTGATCCGGCAAGCTGGAGCCACGCGCGCGAAGGCTTTCCAGGAGCACAAAGCCGCGACTCTTGCTAAGTTCAACCACGACGTGGTGCGGCGAATGTACTCATTCTGTGAGCAGGCCACCCTCGCGGATTACGGCGCGCAGTTCGCCTTTTGCGAAGAGTCGCAATTGCTGGCTCGGCTCGGGGGCGCTGCAGCAGAAGAGGACGCAGAGGCCGGGAGTGACTGGGGGAACGTGGCAGCCGGCGACGAGCACGAGGTCGACGAGGCCGCTGCTGCTGGCGGCGCCTGACGGCCGACCACTCAATTCGGAGCGCAAGCGCGCTGGGGCGGAAACAGACTTCCTCCCCCTGACACCTCCTGCTGCTGGCCTCAGACTCGATTCCCGGTAACGAGAGACAGCGCACATGTGTGCGTCGCAACAATATTCGGGAAATCCGTTGTGAACTTGGGATTCGGCGCACTTCCCGAGAAGATCGCACGTCGACGTTTGAGGCTCGGGGTTCGCAGGGCAAGAGTCGAGAGAGGAAGGCGCAGATCACGGTTCGCAGCTCGACACTTCAGGTTTTCCTGTGATTTTCTATTCTTTCGGGGCCTCCGCTCTCTCGCCGCCGCGTTGCAGGGGCCGCTTCAAAATTCAGTTCCAAACGCAATCCTAAATGAGCTTGCCGCACTTCAAGGCCAACATGGATGAGGCGAACAGGCATTTATGCTCGATTCGAAGGACCTAGGTGCATGGCGCGAAGCGCCAATGCAGTCTTGTATATATATATATATATATATATATTGGGCCTCCCTTGGGGCACGAGTCCTTGGTGTTTTGCGTGTGTTCCTATAGATTGCCCTTCGCCTGCGGCTCCAATCCGTCATGTTTTAGTTACGTCTGTTCCTGTGTACTGGCCCTCTTTGTTAATTCAAGCTTCGCGCGGCCCGCTTAGCTTCGACCGGGAGAGGTGCGCTCTCGACCAGCGAATCAAAAACTGTTCCTGTGTACTGGGCCTCTTCTGGGGCAAGAATCCTCCCTGGGGAATTCCCAGGAGGCTCCAGGAAGCCCCGCGGGGGCCACGCGAGGCCTTAGGAGGCCTCTGGAGGCCACAGGGGGCCCCAAGAGGCCCCAGGACGCCCCAAGAGGTTCCAGGAGGCCCCAGGAAGCCGCAGGAGGTTTTTCAGGAGGCCCCAGGAAGCCCCAGGCTTATGCGCAGAGACGCGCTCGTAGTGCTGAGACTCATTCACACCCCAATTGATTCGCACTTAGATTCACTCCCAGACCGTCAATACCCAAGCCCGTTTATATTCGAAAATCTTGCGCCTAAGCCCACGGCGGACAGGTCCGCGCGAATAGATGCACATATGGGGAGCTCCACGCAGTGAATCTTTATTTGTCCAACCATCCTGTGGTGTTGGGCCCCCGTTTTGAAGAGACAGCGCCCCGCGTTCCTCCATCCCTCCTACACCCCCCCCCCTGCTCCCGTTACCCCCCTCACTTTGGCACACTCCTCACACGTTTCGTGGCCACATCGGGAGCTCCACCGAAGGCCCCAGGTGGGCTGCCCGCATGCGTCCGCCGCACCCAGTACAGCGCTCCGTGGCCCCATGGGGAGCTCCACCGAAGGCCCCAGGTGGAGTGCCCGCATGCCTCCGCCGCACCCAGTACAGCGCTCCGTGGCCCCATAGGGAGCTCCACCGCCACACCCAGTTCACCGCGTCGTGGCCCCATGGGGAGCTCCACCGAAGACCGGGCGGCGGCGGCGGCGGCGCCCCTCTCGCGGCGGTGCCGCGCTGGCGGGCCAGGGTGCCTTTCTCCTCTGCGCCGTGCGTCTTCTTCGGCCTCCTCCTGGGATGTTGGGCCTCTGGCCTCCTGCTGCCTCCCGCCTCTCCCGTCCCCCCCCTCCTCTTCCTCCCCCTCCTCCTCCTCCTCCTCCTGTGCCCCCTCGTTTTTTTTGGTAGAGGAACGAGCAAGGACATGAACATAGCAACTCGAAGGTCCGCGCGGATTCCTCGCATCGGCGCGGCCCTCCGAGCTTGTATGCCTCTGTCAGTGCTCGTGCCCCTCTCCCTCCCCGCCTCCTCCTCGCGTTCCTCCTCCTCCCCGCCTCCCCCTCTCCTCCTCCCTGGAGGGAGGCAGAGAGCGAGAGTGCCGCCTCTCTGCCGCCCCCGCCGCCCCCGCCGCCGCCCACGTCTCGGAGCCCGGCGCGCAGGCGCCGCCCCGCCCCGCCCGCGGCGGACTCGGGCTCGTCAGACTGAAGGGGGACGGCCATTCTGTGGCTTCATCTGATGCCCTGATGTCCTCCCTGGAGGCACGTGCGGCCTCCTCGGCGCCCTTGGGGGCTCCGCCTCCCCCTGGCGCCGCCTCCTCTCGGAGCGCCGGGGCCCCGGCTCCCTCGCGTGCGCCGCCTCGGCCGCTTCGTGTGGAGTCCTCCTCCCTCCTCCTCCTCCTCCTCCTCCTCCTCCTCCTCCTCCTCCTCCTCCTCCTCCTCTCTCCTCCTCCTCCTCCTCCTCCTCCTCTTCCTCTCCTCTCCTCCTCCTCCTCCTCCTCCTCCTCCTCCTCCTCCTCCTCCTCCTCTCTCCTCCCCTCCTCCTCCTCCTCTTCCTCCTCTCTCCTCCTCCTCCTCCTCCTCTTCTTCCTCCTCCTCCTCCTCCTCCTCCTCCTCCTCCTCCTCCTCCTCCTCCTCCTCTCTCCTCTTCCTCCTCCTCCTCCTCCCCTCTTTCTCTCCTCCTCCTCCTCCTCCTCCTCCTCCTCTTCCTCCTCCCCCTCCTCCTCTTCTTCCTCCTCCTCCTCCTCCTTCTCCTTTTCCTCCTCGCCTCCTCCCCCTCCTCGATCAGGAGTGGAAGAAGCACGCAGACACAAAGAGTCACCGATTCCCCTGAAGATATAGGAAGACATGTGAAGTGGGGGGGAGGGAGGATGAACTTCCAGAACAGAAGGACAAGCACGGGCAATCCTGGGATTTGTGTCTTTTCATTTATGTGTCCCTGCGCCCCTTCAAGGGAGGGGGGGAGGCTGGCAGGCGGAAGGAGGAGGGGAGGCAGGGCATCGAGCAGTGGCGAAGCGTCCTGGCTCGCCTGGAGGCCCACCGAAGAATGTTCTGAGACCCTCTTGTGGTATGCGCGAGGTGTTCTAAAACATGTTTGGCTGAGAGTGCCTTGTTTTGACATGCCGGGCCCATGTTAAAAGAACATTGCGTTTGTGATTCGAACGCGTTGGGGTTCTAAGAACATTGCGTGGTAGGTATATCGGAATGCCGGGACGGCGGGTCCCTGCTTAAGGGAGGGAGGTGGTTGTAGTTCGGCCAAGTTCGGCCACGAGCTGAGGGGGGTAAATAGGGTGCGGGGGGGAGGCTTCTGAAAAAAAACACCCCAGCTTTTCAGACGGCGCAGGCATTCGCTGTACATGTAAGGCCAACGCCTCCTAAGAAGCAGCTTCTTTCTGAGAAGCCCGACCCCTCCCTCCACCCCCCTTCTGCGCGCCGCCAAGGCAGGGAGGGAGGTGGTGGTGGTGGTGGGTGGCTACGGCATCGAGGTGATTCTCGTGCAAAGCGCATGGCCAAAAGCTCGGAAAAAGGGCCACGTAGCCCGTGAAACAAGGCCAAGCGCGCATCTCTTATGCCGACCGCAGCCCCTCGAAACGAGGAGGGGTACCTTGCCGTGAGCCCGCAGCTTGCCGTGGCAGGGTTTTTTTTGGGGACTGCAGCGAAGTTGCGCCCATGGCATGCGTCAAAGTCGGGTAAATGTCCGCCCCGCGGGCGCGCGCGCCTGACTAGAATAAAGCTGCGCAGGAGCAGCACTTCACAGAATGAGACCCGGGGGACCCCCCAGATATGTGACTTGTGGTGACAGCGAATGAGGGAGGGAGGCGGGAGGAACCGAGGAGTAAAAGACGGCATACATATAATTCGTAGTATATATTGTGCTGATGTGACCCTTTACTGAGGGAGAAGGGAGGAGAGAGAAAGAGAGAGAGGGGGGGAGACAATTCGTAGTATACATTGTGTTGCTGTGACCCTTTTATTGAAAGAGAAGGAAGGAGAGAGAGAGAGAGAGACAACAAAAAAAAAGAAAACACAAATGACAGCTGTTGGCAGAAGGCGCGCCCGAAACCCCACCTGGCCCTCTCCCCCTGGGATACGCCAGAGAGCTTGCATCCGGGAAGCCACGCCAGCTGAAGGCCATCGGATCATCTGAGGTCTGGGCTTCGGCATCTCGTTTCTCGGTCCCGCCTCTCGCTCTCTATCCCTCTCTCTCTCTTTTGTTCTCTGTCTCTCTCTCTCTCTCTCTCGCTCCTGCCGGGTCTCTTGCTCTGCGGCCTGCACCGATCCGGAAATGCAGAGAACCATGTCGGAGACACGGGATCCCTCGGAGGAGCAGCAGGTCATCACAACGATACGTTTCACGATTTGCAAGATTCCACGGGCCCCCGAATGTTTCACACAGTTTGCAGCCACGAGGGCCGCTGGATTCTCCAGAATTCCTCAAACGTATCCTGAGCCATGCGAATCATGATACCATTCTCGTCATACAGTCAAGCCGCATAGTAAGGAGGGGCAACCCTCTTGAGGCTACCCTTGCATCCTTGCCTCCTCGGTGCATCCTTGGCCGCTTTGGCTGGCCGCTCCCCGCCCGCGAAGTGTCGACACGGTCTTCCAAGGCCCCCCTGCAGCTTCCTCGCGCACCCTCCTGCTGCGGGTCGACTGTCACTCTTGGCCGCCCCGGGAGGTCGTGACGGGCTGCCTCATCCTGCTGAACACGCTCGTGATGGCCGTCGAGCAGCAGCACGAGGGGCTGGTCCTCGGCGCCGAGCTCAGCGTCTACAGCGCCTCGACCCTCGACGACTGGCCGCTCACGAAGGCCCCGCCGCGGGGGGGGGGGGGGCAGCGCCCGGCCGGGAGGAGGAGCGGGGGGAGGAGGATCGGAGTGGGAGGAGCCGTGGCCTGTTGCCAGGGGTTTCGGGGAAGGTGGAGCTCGACCCTCCTTGGCACCCATGGGCTCCGCGACCCGCAGGTGTCTCATCTTTCTCTTCCTCGTCCTCCGCCTCCCCGGCAGTGCGACGCTTGGCCGACTTGGACGCCAGCGCGCGCCGGGGAGGGCAGGGAGCAGGATAGATAGGGAGCTGACCTGGCAGGGCTTGGGGTGTTTCCCCTTCCCTGTCCAATAGGCTTGAAAGGCTTGAAAGGCTCCCGCCGCCTCGGCCGACGCCTGGTGCTCCATCGTGCTCATCACGTTCCTGTCGTTGTGCCTTGGGCCTCCCTCCTGACCCTCTCTGGCTCTCGCTGTCGGCTTCGACACGGTGCGTGCCTTGCCTGCCCGCGGGCCGCCGTGGGCGCCTGATACTACGGGCGCGCCAGCGCGCCCCTCAGCCCACGCAGGAAACAGTGGGAAGAGGGAGGGGAGGCGGAGGTGTAAAAATCAGAGGGTGGAACGGTGCTGACACCGCTACCCGTTCTTCGTCTTCCCCTTCTTGGCCTCCCGGGCAGGGCCCTCGTCGCCACGGCTGGCTGCGCCTCGAGCTGCTGGTCAGGAGACACCCCGGGAGAGGTCCGGTAAGTTGCGGTATCGGTATCTTTTATTTTCCCCAAAAATGGCGCGTTCCAGAAGAGGCCTCGCTCTCGACGTGCCCTCGCCATTTTGGCGGAGATCGGCAGAAGTAGGCCGAAGTTCCTGGATCCAGCCACGACATGGTTCGAAGGGGGAGGTGGCAGGTGGAGTATCCCTTTACTTTGCTCTCGTTTTGGCCTTCCACCTCTGGTCTATGTTTTTGTTTCTCTCTCTCTCTCTCTCTCTCTCCCTCTCTTTCCCTCTCTCTCTCTCTCTTTCTCAAATTCTCTTCGGGTGTCTACCTTTCCGTTTCCCTGTGCTTGCATATTGATGTATGTACGCATGTATACATATATGTATGTTTGCTTGCGTGCATGTAGGTACGTATGCATGTACATGTGTGTATGTGTATGTATGTGTGTATGTATGTGTGCATGCGCGTATGCATGGATGCATCCATGTATGTTTGTGTGTATATGTGTATGCCTCTATGCGTGTCGGTCTGTGTGTAGGTATGTGTGTATGCATGCATGCATGTATGTATGTCGCTATCCATGTATGCATGAAGTACGTATGTATGTTTGTGATTATGTATGCGTCCATGGACGTATGCATGCACCTTTGTATAGGTGTACAGGGGTACGCATGCGTGTGTGTGTGGTTGTATCTATGTATGCATACAGGTACGCATGTATGTTTATGTGTGTATGTAGTTAGGTGTGTATGTATGTTCGTACGTGTGTATATACGTGCATGATTGGGTATGTCCATATGCATGTATGCGTGTACGCGTGTATGTCTGCATGTAAATATGTATGGGTGCATATCTGTATGTCTGCGTGTATGCATGCGTGCGTGTGTATGCTTGTGCGTAGTTGTCTGTTTGTTTGAATATACGTATACATGCATGCATGTATGCATACATGCACGTATGTATGTTTGTATGTGTGTATGGATGGAGGCATGCATGCCTGCATATACGTAAGTATGTGTTTGTGTATATGTATGCATGTGTACTTAGGTATTTATGTATGTGTGTGCATGTATGGATGTAGGTACGTGTGTATGTGCGTATGTATGTGTGTATGTATGCATGCTGGTATGCATGTATGTATGTATGTATGTATGTATGTATGTATGTACGTACGTACGTATGTTTGTATGTATGTGTGTGTATCTATGTGTGCATGCATGCGTGAATGCATGCATGTATGTACATATGTATGTGTGTGCGTATGTATGCATGTACGTAAGTATGTATGCATGCATGTATGCATGTATGTATGCATGCATGCAAATGTATGAGCTCATATATATATATATATAGTAATGTGTGCATGTGTGTAGGTATGTAGGCGTGTAGGTGTGTATGTCTCTATGTATGTTTGTCTCCCTGCCTGTCTGTATGTATGTATGGTTGTTCAGATGTGCGTTGCACTGTATGCATATATACATGCATGCATGCATGTATGCATCCATACATACATACATACATACATACATAGACACATATATATACAATACCGCATTGGCGCTTCGCGCCATGCACCTTGGTTCTTGAGGCTTTGCATATGTTGGTCGTTCGGGTCATCCCGCGTGGCCTTGGAAATTTTGCCCCTTTCCTGCGGTGGTTTTCAGAAGTCTTCGAAAGTTCGGGCGGTCCCTGGCCCTTCCCGGGCTTCTGGAGGCTCCCGAAAGGCGCCGGGTGGAAGGCGGTGGAGGGCGAAGGATAGGAGGGAGGGAATCTCGGATAGCGAGGAAAAGAAGCTGATGTGGGGGAGGACGAGTGGTGGAGCAGCAGCAAGAGGAAGAGGAGGAAGAGGAGGAGGAGGAGGAGGAGGCGGAGGAGGGCGCCGTCGGTGGACGGCGAAGAATGTTGCAGCGGGTTGCAGCGGGTTGCGGCGGGTCGCAATGGGGCACGCGAACGCAAGTAATTCTTGGGGAACGCACCCGATCCTGGGTTCGCAACAGACTTCCAGGATTTGTGGTTGCAAGCCCAGGGTTCGGGTCAGGCGGGCTGGCCGGCTTGGGGCCGTCTCGAGCCGTCTTGGGGCCGTGTTGGGGAGCGTCGGCCCTCTAGGGACCTTACGGGGGCTACGTAGGTCCTCCTGTTGGCCTCCTATGGCCTTTGGGGGGGCCTCCCATGGCCTTCTTGGGCTTCTCTTGGGGGCCTTGTGAAGGCCTGTTGGATTTCTTTTTGGCTCATGCGGGGTTTCTTTGGGCAGCCTTGGGGCCGTCTAGGCCGTCTAGTGGCTCTCTTGGGGGTCTCTTGGACCGTCTTGGGGCGATACCGGAGGCCTTTTGGGCTGTTTTGGACGCTGCTAAGACCCGAATATCGAATGTGCTGAAACGGTACACTTCCCGGAGGGAACGAGGCGATTTTTGCATTCTGGGAGCCTTGTTGAGGGCCTCCATGCGCCGTCTTGGGGGCCTCTGGAGGCCATCCAGGTCCTTCTTGGAGCGCTCTTGTGCTGTCTTGGGTCTCTTTTCGGCCTCCCTGATCGCCGCTCTGATCGCTTCGGGGCCTTGTGAGGGCCTAGTGGGCCTCTTTTTGGCTCAGTTGGGGCTTCCTTAGGCAGTCTTGGGGCCATCCAGGCCGTCTAGATGCTCTCTTGGGGGTCTCTTGGGCTGTCTTGGGGCGATCCCAGAGGGCTTTTTGTTGGCGCTGAGACCCGACAGCGAATGTACTGGAAATGCACGTTTTCTGGAGGGAATGAGGCGATGTTTGCGTTCTTGGAGCTGGGTCCTTCTTGGAGCGCTCTTGTGCTGTCTTGGGTCTCTCTTCGGCCTCCCTGATCACCGCCCTGCTCGCTTATAGGGGCCTTATGAGGGCCTGGCGGGGGCCTCTTTTTGGCCCAGTTGGGCCTTCCTTGGGCAGTCTTGGGGCCATCCAGGCCGTCTAGAGGCTCTCTTGGGGGTCTCTTGGGCCGTCTTGGGGCGAAACTGGAGGCCTTCTTCGTTTTGCTGTTTTGGACGATGCTAAGGCCCGAACAGCGAATGTGTTGGAAATGCACGTTTTCCTGAAGGAACGAGGCGATTTTTGCATTCTGGGAGCCTTGTTGAGGGCCTCCATGCGCCGTCTTGGGGGCCTCTGGAGGCCATGCGGGTCCTTCTTGGAGCGCTCTTGTGCTGTCTTGGGTCTCTCTTCGGCCTCTCTGATCACCGCTCTGATCGCTTGGGGCCTGCTGGCAGGACCCGGCTAAGCGCCCTGGGAGATCCGGGACGAGCCGGGGGACCTTTGGCAAAGATGTACACGTTGGGCCCAGGCACCCGCGATCCTGGGGGTCCAGTGGGGGGGGGTGGGGGGCGACGGGGTTCTCCACTCCCCCCCCGCCCCCCTGGCTTGTAAAAATATACGCAGGGGAGCATTGTAGAGGCCTCCGGCCTGTGCCGCCGATCCAGCTTAAGCTCTGGAAGGCTATGCGTGCGAACCCCGTGGCCCTGGCCCCAGCCCTGGTCACATGGCCCTGGGTCGGGCCGTGCGGTGAGGTCCCCGGGGATTCCGTCGTCACCGTGCGGTGAGGCACGGCACCGCTTCGGGACCTCCAAATCCAGTTTCCCCTGTCCCCCTTCCTTGCACACAGGTCCTCCTCGGCGCACCACCAGACGTGTGGGTAGGACGGCTCGAGCAGAGCATTTAGCCTAGGATTTCCCGACACTTTGCGATATGGGGTCTCCAGTTGGTCCTTACCCCAGCCCCGTCCCCGGCGCCGGCCCCGGCTCTGGTCTTGGACAAAAACTAGGGGTCACAGCGCGCTCCCCTCTCCCCTTAATGCCCAGCAGAGCCACCCCGGCAGCGCCCTCAGCAGAGCTGAAGCTCAAGCTGTAGTATTTTAATTGATGCGCCGTGTCGGCGGATATACCTATACCACCTCCCTTCGGGTGAGAAGGATTTTCGTGGGGGAGGAACCAACGGATCACTCGACCGATCTCTCTCACGATGTCACCAGCGATCTCACGATCGCTCTCACTATTCCTGTCAATGCCTGTCTCACTATCGATCGCACTATCGATCTCACTCTCGGTCTTACTACCGATGTCACTATCGGTCTTACTCTCGATCTCACTTTCGGACTCACGATCGATCTCACCATCGATCTCACCATCGGTATCACTATCAGGCTCACTTTCGATCTCGCGATCGATCTGACAGTCGATCTCACGATCGATTTCACTATCGATCTCATTACGGGACACCAGGACACTGGCAGGACACCCGCGGACCACCCGAGAGAGCGGTCGCCTGGCCCGGCGGCCCCCGTAGCCAGAGGAGGGTTCCTTCCTCTCGCCCGCACGTGCGACACGAACACGGAGCCGACACCGATTTCCCGGTGCGGGGTTCCCTGCTTCATTGCGATCTCACCCCCTCTCTTCCGATACGCATATCTAGAAATACCTGTATATATATATATATATATATATATATATATATATATATATATGTACCGCCCAAGCAGTGCTTACATTTAGGGGCTAGCACACTGGTAACCAAGGAATTGGATGGATGTTGCGGGGTTTCGGCTGAGGCCTGGCTGCGGGAGCATCGCCGCATCGCTGGCGGCGGCGTGGTGCCCGAGTGGCAATGCAGCTGTGATGGGGAGCGGTGCCTGAAGCCGTGGCGCGACCGCGTCGAGCGGCACCGCGACCCGTGAGCCCAGTCCTGGCCGCTGCCCCACGGGGACGCCAGCGGTTGGCGCCAGTGCCGGCGCGATGTGGCTTCCTCCGCCCAGGAGTCCCGCGCTCGTGCGGGGGACTGCCGTGGCCGCCCTCGGCGGTGATGGGGGGAAGGGCTCCGGGATGCCACTAAGGCCGCGGCCCTGCAGGCTCCGCCCGGCGGAGATGCACTTGTGGCGGCGCGTCTCGCCACTCTCCAGCGACATCTCCCACGGATTTCGGTAACTATTGTCTTATACCATGTTTGCCACATCCCGCGTCTGTCTGCGTTGGGTACGCCTGCATTGTCGATGGGGCGGGGCATCTCCATCGCCCGCGCAGCAGCAATGCGAGGCCGACTCTCTTCCCTTTTAGCATGGACGTTTTTTACCGCCGACGTTGCAGAACGCGTGGGGGGGAGCGGGACGGGGCCTGCGTCTTGCGCGAAAGCGGGAACTGCGGCTCTCGCCACGGCGCCGCGCGCACTTTTGCCGAGCGTTGCGCTCCCGCTCTGGCGCGGCGCAGTCGCAGTGCCGCGCGCGAGCGGGCCACGCGTCGCTCCGACGCAGACGCCGCGCGGACGTCGCTTCGGCGTGGTGTCGCTTCCTCTGCTCGCTGAGTCGGCAGCCGCAGGGCCGCACGCGAGCGAGCGAAATGTCGCTCTCGCCCCAAAACGCCGCGTGCACTCTTCCTGGGAGGAGGCGCTCTTCGCTCTCGAGCTCTTCGCTCGTCAAGTCGTCGGCCGCCAGGCCGCGCGCGAGCGGGCGGAAGGCCGACTTCGCCCACGCCGAGCGCTGAGCAGATTCTGCCTGAACGTGGCGCTCCCGAGCGGGGTGCGACGCACACGTCGAGTCCTCGAGCGCGTCAGAGGCGGGGGCTGGCGCGAGCTCGGGACATGCTGCTGCCACCAGCCCGCCCCGCAGGTTCTGCCTCGAAGTGGCGCTCCCGCTCTGGCGCGGCGTTTTTGCTGGTGTGCTCGCAAATCCTCTCGGAAGCCAGGCCGCGCAGGCAAAGGGGAGCATGGAACTCTCGCAGAAGCGCCGCTGGGGGGAGTTCCCGAGGGGTAGGTTCCCGCTCGTGCGCGGCCCGTGGTCTCCTTATTGCCGCGATGCGGCAGCGGTGCCGCGCGCGCGCGCGAGAGAGCGTCTTGATTCCGGCCAGCGGAGAAGCGCATTTGCCATGGGAAGGGGTGGGCGGTGCCCAGCGACTCCTGCGAGGAGCTGCACGCCTTTTCCCTCGCCTCTCTCCATCCCCCGCCCCCCTCCCGCCCACCTCCCCTTCGACCACACCTCGCCCTCCCCCCCTTCGTCCTTTCCCCTCCCATCTCCCCCTCTACGGCTCCGTCCCTCCTCGCGGAGTTAGGATGTCATTCCAGTATTCCGCGCGCGTTCCTGAGCTACTTGGCACCGTCCCCGGTTCTACTGTAAGCTCGCGGAACACATGTGCGTGAGTTGATCATTGTAAGACCCATGTGTAAAGAGCTGTTGATGTGCCTTTTTCGGAGATTGTGTGAAGCCTCTTGGAAGCCTTACAGAGATGTTCAGCTGGATGCAGGTGTAATGCGCAGTGGATGCACGGTGTAATGCGAGCTTGAGTAATGCGCAGCTGGATGCACGGTGTAATGCGAGCAGCCCTTCGTCCATGGCGGGGACGATGCCTGCAAGCACCCGCAGGGCCAGCGCAGGGACCCAAAGGCGAGGGTCAGGGGAAAGAGGACGGGGCCAGCAATTCCAGGCCCTACCTGCGTCAAGAGAGAACCACTCGCGGCAGTGGAGGCGTCAGCCTGCCTTCTTCCGTCCTTCCTTCCCTCTCGCCCTTCAGTTCCCAGAGTCTGACCGTGTCCCCTTCTGATTGAAAAATCTAGCCGCACAGGCCGACTTTGAGCTGATGGAGAAGCTCTTCGCTGCCACCTTCACCCTCGAGCTCGGCCTGCACATCTTTGCGGAGAGGCGCCAACCCTGGGGCGGGCTGTTGGCGAGGCAGCACCTGGGGAGGAGGAGTACACGGTGCCAGCACGGCTACTTGTGTGCAGTTGTGATCGCCGGTACCTGTACTTGGCATCGCTTGGACGTGTGCATTTTTTCTCGGCGAGGACCATCGAGGAGCATCCTTGATCATTTGGCGAAAAAACCACGCGCGAAACCAACAAAAAAGCACAGGGAATGGACGTCCGAGCGATGGCCAGTGTAGCGAGTAGTGCCAGTACGGTAGCAGGAACCCCCGGGACCAGTACCGGTTACTGGTACGGTGCCAGGACTGCGCGGCATTCTTCGGAAAACCCGTCCAGGAAGACATCGAGGCGTCCATGGGACGTGGCTGGTGGACTGCCAGCGATGGTGACGACGATAATCGCGGCGGCGACGGAGGCGGGGTCTATACAGTACACAGTGTGCAGCACGGTACGGTACCGCCTGGTACGGTAGACGCGGCCGGATCGTCCAGTACGGCGGTCGTGGAAGGGACCGTCCGGTGTTATGGTCGCGGCCGGTACGTTATCTTTTGGTACACTGGTCTCGGCCAGTTGAGGCGGTACGGTCTGGGCCAGTGGCGGTTGGCCGACATCCGGTACCGTGGTGACTTGTCCACAAAATTCCTGTGGTGTTAGGTCTTCGTCTTGAAAAGACATCGCCCCGAGTCTCCTCTCCTCCCTCGCTCCTCCCATCCCTGCCTCTGCCCTCCGCACACCCCTCACACTAGTCAGGAGGGAACAAAAACACACAGACACAATTAATCGTCGATTCCCCTGAAAATATGGGAAATTATGGGAAGTGGGGGGGAAGACAAAAACCCAGAACATATGGGACAATATGGGGGATCCTGTTATTTGTGTGTATTTGTCTGTGTGTCCTTGGGCCCCATTGAACTAGAGAGCTTCACCGAAGCCCCCAGGAGGGGGTTTTGCACTCGGTACCCCACCCCCCGCACACACTCCGTGGGCCCAGCCATAGGGAGCTCCCTGCTCCCACCGAAGCCCTCAGAGGAGGATGTGTCGTGTGTCCCCACGCCCCTCACAGCTGCGCGGCCTCGTAGGGGGCTCCACCGAAGCCTCAGGAGGTTTTTGTTTTTGCATGTGGCTCTGTCACCGTTCACACGTTTCGTGGCCACATACGAAGCTCCCTCCACCGGAGACCCGAGGACGGGGTTTCGCGTGTGGTTCTCCACGCCCCTCGGGCGTGGCTCCGTAGGGGTTCCACCGAAAACCAGAGGAGGTAGTTTTGCATGTGGTTCCACACTACACACCCCATCGCACGCTTCGCGGCCCCATAGGGAGCTCCACCGAAGCCCCGAGGAGTGGGCTCTGTATGTAGTTCTCAACACCTCTCACACGTTACGTGGCCCCCCAGGGAGCTCCACCGAAGCCCCCAGGAGGGGGTTTTGCATACGGTCCTCGACACCCGTCATACGCTTCGTGGTCCCATAGGGCGCTCCACCGAAGCTCCCACGAGGGGCTTTTGCAAGTGCATCTCCACACCTCGCACACGATTCGTGGCCCTACAGGAAGCTCCACCAACGCCCTCAGCAGGGAGGGGTTACGCACCCCTCACACGCTTCGTGGCCCCATAAGGACCCCGCCGAAGGCCACAGTGGCAGCGCCCGCATGGCGGCACCAGGTTCGCTCCGGCATGCCCGACATGCGTTCTGTGGCCCCATGGGGAGCTCCGCCGAGGGCCCCGGGGGCGGCGCCCGCCGGACGGTGGCACCACGCCCGTGCCGGCGCGCCGCTCACACGCTTCGTGGCCACAGAAGGGGGCTCCGCCGAAGGCCCCAGTGGCGGCGTCCGCGTGGCGGCACCCCTCGTTCCTGTTTCTGGCCCTGTCCCGTCCGCATCGGCGGCTCTCGTCGCTGGACCGCCTCGGCCGCTGCCGCCAGCGCCAGCAGCCGCTGGCGCCGAGGACCCGAAATGCGCGCAAAATAAAGAAATGGACTCGGTCGGCCCAGTTTTTTGCCCCCCCCTTGCCGAGTGAGCTCCTCCTCTTCCTCCTCCTCCTCCTCCTCCTCCTCCTCCTCCTCATCCTCCTCTTTACTCTCCTCTTCCTCCACTTCCTCCTCCTGTTCCTCTTCACCCTCCCGCTCCTCCCCCTCCTCGCTCTCCCCTGCCACTAGGCCCGATGCAGGCATGGCGGTTTCGACGTGTCTTACTCCAGGAAACAAGGACACTGCTGGAGAGGACGAGGAGGAGCACGTGGAGGGAGGGGGGAATCAGGAGAACGATGGGGAGGAGGAGGAGGATGAACATGATTTAGTAAAGGGGGAGGTGCAGCAACACGAGGATCAGAAGGGGTGGCAAAGAAGGACAATACGGGATCGGAGGCGGAGTGTGAGAAGGCCGGCCATGATTTATTTTATTCCCTCGTTGCTACTAACTCATTTTCTGTGACAAATTCCCATGCTCCTCTTACTTCTCATATTCCTCGTCGTCGCGGTCCTCCTCCCCCTCCTCCTCATCTTAGCGCTCGCCCTTGTTCTTCTCCTCCTTTCACCGGTTCCATGGAAGAGGAAAGAGGGAACACGATAGGAACAGAGAGCATGGTATGAGGAAGATGGGACCGTGCAGAGGAAGCGGACGAGGTGGAGGTGGATTGTGAGGATGAGGGGGAAGGGGGCGAAGACAGGTGGTGACCAGGGGGACGTTGTAGGAAAAGCAGCAGGAGAAGCATAATGAACATGAGGAGGGGGAGGAGGAGGTAAAGGAGGAGGAGGAGGAGGAGGAGGAGGTAAAGGAGGAGGATGAGGAGGAGGAAAAGAAAAAGAAGGAGGAGGAGGAGCAGGAGGAGGAGGGGGAGAGGGAGCAGAAGGAGGAATGCGAGAATGAGGCGGCGAATGATTGATTGGACGATGGGAGGGAGGAAAAGGAGGATGGGATTGGATCGGCCTAAGCGAAGGCCGCGCCGCCCTCTTGGGAACGACGGCGCGGTCCCCAGAGGAGTCCCCGGCGGGTCACGCTCCCCGCCGCCTCCGCGCCCAGCTCAGTCGACGCAGTCGAGGCACACGGTGTAGCGGCACCACGCGCACCACCCCGCGGCCGTCCGCTTGGCGAATGTTCTCGAGCGCCACTCGCGGACGAAGGCGAACGGAGTCCGGCGGCGGAGGACGAATTCGTGCCGAGCGGGGCACAGGTGCACACCGAGCGAGCTGTCCTCGCTCTCCACCTCCGGCTCCACCACGCCGCTCTCGAAGGCCAGGTCCGAGGCGATGACCTGGTCCTCCTGGACATCGACCCCCTGATCTGACGAGCAAGCCGGCCCGCCACTGCCAGACCCCGAGGCCACGACGCATTTCGCTCCCACGATGCCGTCGTCGAGCCTGTCCGCCACCACGCCCCTCTCCACGGCCATCGCGCAGTCCTCCTCGCGCACGACGACACGACGACGACGCTTTGGGCCTCGCCGCCACACGCTTGCGCATTGCCCACGATGGCACTCGCCAGCAACGGCACCGTCGGCGGGCATACCACTAAGAAGGCCACCTTCGGCAGCGCCGGCCACCGCGGCGGGTTCCAGGACACTCCTCCTGCTGCAGCTCCTGCTCCTGCTCCTGCGCCGCGGGCCGCCCTTCTCTCGCGCTCGGCGGCCCACTGGGCCACGCCGCCGCGAGCAGACGGCCGTAACTCCTCCAGGAGGGCATCGACGTCGCACGCCTCCACGACGGCGCCTCCTTCCTGAGCTCCTTCGCGGGCGAGGCCGCACCGACAGGCCGCGGGGTGGCTGCCAAGGCGACGCCGTCGAGCCGTGGGCCCGCGGATGCCCGAGCAATGGCCTTGGTATCGCTCGGACGTGCGCACTTTTTCTGGAAAAAAGCAACGCGTTATGCACTTGTCTGCATTTTTTGCACGCATTAGCCATGCTTTATGCACTTGTCTGCGAAAAAGCTACTTTTTCTGCACTTGTTCTTTTCTGTGCCCTTTGTGTTCTGCAGACGGCGGGGATTATGAAGGAGCATCCTGGATCATCCTGCGAAACAACCGCGCACGAAACCGACAAAAAAGCACAGGGAATGGACGCCCGAGCGATGGCCAGCAAGGGGTGGTCCACATGGGGGGGCGCAAAAAAGCCCCCAAAAAGGGGCCCCTGCGGGCTCCTTTTTGGGGGCACCAGCTGGCTCCCAAAGGGGCCTTACAGGGCCCCTTCAGGGCCCCGTTCTCTTCACCCCCTCAGCCGCCGCCGTCCGCGTCGTCGTCACCGTCGTCGCCGTCGCTGTCGCCGCCGCCGCCGCCGCCGTCGTCATCGTCGTCGTCGTCGTCGCATGGAACCGCGCCCTCGCGCGCGCGGGATGCGAGATTGCCGCGTCCACATCCCATTCATGTATATCGCAAGGAAGCTCTACGAGCTCCCGGCGGTAACCAAGGTTGACGGTTTACCGCCGCCCGCGGCGGAGCCTCCGCGGCAGGCCGGGCCGCGCCGCGGCGCCGCCGCGGCCCGGCGGCCCGAGGCTGCAGTGCAGCACGGGGCGCGCGCGCCGCCGCCGCGCGGTCGCGCCGGGAGCCAGGGGCGCCAGCTCCGCTCGCTCGTCTCGGCATCGCTCGGGCGTGTGCACGTGCTCCTCGGCGAGGGCCACGGAGGCGCAACCTGGATGACGCAGCGAAAACAAAGGCACGCGCGAGATCGAAAGATATGCACGAGGAGTGAACGTCCGAGCGATGGCGCGTCGGCGCCGCGAACAGCCCGGGGGGCGGCTTCGCAGGCCTGCCGGCGGCGGCGCCGCGCGGCGCGCCTGCGCTGCAGAGGGGGGCCGCGGGTGCGGATCTCCTCGGCGCGGAGAGGACAGGGCCGCCACGCCGTCGGGCCAGAAGAGGAGGAGGAGGAGGAGGAAGAGGAGGAAGGGGAGGAGGAGGGGGAGGGGGAGGGGGAGGAGGAGGAGGAGGAGGAGGAGGAGGAGGAGGAGGAGGAGGAGGAGGAGGAGGAGGAGGAGGAGGAGGGGGAGGAATAGGAGGGGGGAGGAACACCCAGGTGACGTGTAGAATTCGTGTTGCATCATCTTCCTCGTCATCACCACCGTGCTACAACCGTTCCTATTCCTCCTCCAAGCACTCCTCATCATCCTCATCATCATCATCATGACCAGCATCATCATCCTCATCACCAACATCATCAGCATCATCATCATCATCGTCATAATCATCATCAGCAGCAACAGCATCATTCCTCCTCTCCTTATCCTCCTGTCTTTAGGCGTCGGAGCGTTCGGAGGAGGAGGAGGATTCTTTACGCTTCGCGTATCCCCACCAGCCCATCTCACAGCAGCAACTCTTGCGAAGCATGCCGACAGTCGTGTTTTTCAGGCGTGTGTCCGCTTGGCCCCGCATATCTCCCCTGTTCCTCCTTCCTCCCGCCTCCTTGTACATCCTCCTTGTGGGGGGAGCGGGAGAAGGACGAGGCGGAGGAGGAGGGAGAGAAAGCGCTCCTCGTGGTTTGAGTCGTTTGGGGTTTCTCGTCCTGGTGTGAGTCGTTCGGGCCCTTCTTCCTGGTGTGAGTCGTTCGGGCTCTTCGTGGTGTGAGTCGTTCGGGCTCTTCGTCCTGGTGTGAGTCGTTCGGGCTTCTCGTGGTGTGGTGTGAGTCGTTCGGGCCCCTCCTCCTGGTGTGACTCGTTCGGGCTCCTCGTGGTGTGAGTCGTTCGGGGCCCGCGTCGTGGTGTGAGTCGTTCGGGCTCCTCGTGGTGTGAGTCGTTCGGGCGCCTCGTCCTGGTGTGAGTCGTTCGGGCCCCTCCTTGTGGTGTGAGTCGTTCGGGCTCTTCGTGGTGTGAGTCGTTCGGGCCCCTCGTCCTGGTGTGAGTCGTTCGGGCTCCTCGTGGGGCCTTTTGGGGGCCTCTTGGAGCCTCTTGGGGCCTCTTGGGGGCCTCTTGGGGGCCTTTCGGGGGCCTCTTGGGGGCCTCTTGGAGCCTCTTGGGACCTCTTGGGGGCCTCCTGGGGGCCTCTTGGGGGCCTCCTGGAGGCCTCTTGGTAGCCTCCTGGGGGCCTCTTGGGTCCATCTTGGAGCCTCTTGCGACCTCCTCAGAGACCTCCTCAGAAGCGCAAATGAGCGCTTCCCCCTGATTTGACCAAAATGAGCCCAAAACCTTAGTAAAATCAATGATTTTGCTATGAAGGAAGGGGAGCGCGGCCCCCTTCAGAAGGCCAAAACGGGGCCAAAACCGTAGTAAAATCAATGACTTTTGCTTCAAAGACGAGCTGAGGCACCAAACTCCCCCCCCCCCTCGGGGCCAGAATCCTCGTGAGGGTCGTTGTTTTTTGGCCCTCCCAGACGTCGAAAAAGACCCCCCTGACGACCCGCAGAACTCCCTCTCCAGGTCCAGGGGGAGGGGGTAGGGGGAGGGGTAAACCCCTCCCCGAAGGGGAAGAAGGGGGGTTGAGGACAGAGCGGGCTCTCTAAACCACTCACGCCCAAAGGGCTGGTGGGAATACGAGTGATGTGGGGAGGAGTTGGATGATGAGGAAGAAGTTCTGCAGTCGTGTATCCTCTTCCTGCTGCTCCAACCAATCTCCCTCATCACGCTCCGTCTATCACTCCCGCTACTCCTCCTTCATCCTCCTCTCTGAAGTCGTCCTCCCAGAAGTCCTCAAGGTAATGACGTTAGCCGTCGTGGACGATAAACAATGGTGTTTTTTTTGCCACCTGGTGCACTTGATATGGCTTAAGCCATGTGGTGCAAACTATGTGATACAATTCACCAGTGCTAACTTTGAAGGCGTCTATTCCACTGCTCGCGCAAGCATCAATCCCAAACCCCATGCGGAAGCGATTGCGATGAGTGCTGGGTCCTGGCTGGTGCATCTCTGCGGCCGCGCTAACTCGCGCATGCTCGCGCCCGCAGCGGCCAGCTAGTTTGGCGCGACCGACGCGAACGTGGTTGCGCTGACCGGTCGGCACATCTCAGCAGGCACTTCAGTGCGAGTCGGCGACTTGGGCGGGCGCGGTATCATGGCAACGTCGGCGACGGTAGACACGATGATGATAGTAGCGATGCTGGTGACGATGCTGACAGCGACGACGGGGCAGCCAGTGACGGCGCCGATGCTGAGCACGCCGACGACGATGACGGCGTCGTCGCGCCGGTGGTGAAGGTTTAGGAGGGAGTTCGACATGCGCGCGGCAGACGCGCGAGAGTGGCCCGCATGGTATTATTTGACACGGATCGTGCCACGAACGATTTCGACATGCGCGCGCGAAGCCCGCTTGGTAGCATGTTATGAAAATGTTGAACAACTTTTGGTTTTCGTAAGAATGCGCAAGAGCGCGCGCGCACGTTTTTGTTGAACATCCGTGTTGCGAAGCCCTGCGTTCTATTTTCTACACTTGATTTTGAAATCCTTCCGGGACTTCTGGTTTTTGAAAGATATTGGCCTGCGCGCGCGACGACGCGCGCGTGTTCACTTCGTCCAACGTTTGCAAAGGACTTGTGCGAACTTTTTGATTTTAGACAGACGAGTGTGAGCGCGTATTTTTTTGCCAGGGAACCAAGAAAAGGGGGGGGTGCCGGTTTGGCTGGGATAGTATGAATTCACAGGTCGGGTGGACATTGGGTCAGAGTCAGATGTGTTTTGCATAGGTTTCTAGGGAATCGGTAAGTCTGGGGGGGGGGAGGAGGTATAATTTATTGTTGTAGCACGGAGAATCGAAGTGCTGTGAGCTACGTGATGTACGCTATGTGGTGCTTTCTACGTTGTAGGAGCCATGGTCCACGTACTCACCAATGTGGTGTGAGCAATGTGGTGCAAGCTACATGGTGCACTATATGTGGTTAAAGCTATGTGGTGTGAGCTGTGTGGTGCCATCGATCGATTGCATTGCGATCGATTGGCCTGCAAAGCGCTGCAATGGATTGTCTTCGAATGCATCCGATGGGATGGCCACCGATCGGTTTGCAGTCGATTTTGGGTTGCGCATCGATCGGATGATCAGTCGATCGGACTGCACATCGATGGCAACAGTGCCTTCGAGTGCCGTCAGCTGGATTGCGATCGACTGGCTTGCAGCCAGCTGGTCCGACGCCGATCACACCGCAGCCGAGTGGACTGCGACGTCGTGTGGAGTGCCGTCGACGCGGCATGTCGACACGAAGCGGACCTCCCGCCTTCGCCCCCCCGCGCTCGGCGCGAGCCCCCTCTCGGGCTCCTCCTCCTCCTCCTCCTCCTCCCCCCCTTCTCCTCCACCCCCTGCTCCTGCTGCCCTGCCTCGCCCTCCCCTCCTCCTCCTCCCTCCTCCTCGTCCTCCTCCTCTTCCTCCTCGATCTCCTCCTCCCTCCTCCGCCGCCTCCTCCTCCTCCTCTGCCTCCTCGTCTTCCTCCTCTTCCTCCTTCTCCTCTTCCTCGTCTACCTTCTCCTCCTCCGTTCTTTGTGCGTCCCCCTCTCCTCCTCCTCCTCCTCCTCCTCCTCCTCCTCCTCCTCCTCCTCCTCCTCCTCTTCCACCTCCTGCTTCGCAACCGCCTCCCAAGGCAACAGCAAACAACAGACAATACCAACAAAACATGTCTTCTGACACATCTTCCTTCACCATCCTGGGAAAATTCTCTCCCATCCCCCTCCCCCGACACGAGGGAGGAGTAAGGAGGAGGAGGAGGAAGAGGAGGCCTCTCCCGCCCCAACGGGCTAAGAGGGTACTCCCCGTGAGTCCTATGCCAATCTGTTATATGTCCTCACCGTTGGCGTTCACCGCCACCTGCATGGATGGGCCGAAGTGTGTCTGGAGAGAGACGGGACGCTGGCTCGCAGCGCTGTGAGAAGGACAGTACGTGAGGAAAGGGAGGATGGGTGAGGGGAGGTGGAAGTACTTGAACGATGTGTGCAACATCATAGACGTCGTCGTGGTCGTGCTGTCGGATTTCGCGGCGTTCGGGCCCGCCATCTGGGTGCACTTCAATTTCCAGGTTCTCGGCCCCCCCCCGTGTCGGGCATGCCGAACACTGGGCACGGCAGGCAGCGATCGCGTCACCCATACGGGGGGGTGGCAAGCAAGAAGGGAGGATCTCGTCGACTCTTGCCTGTCCTGGGCCTCCCAGAGGCCATCGCGGCCACAGGCAATTCGACGCATGTCGACACATTGGTCAGGTTGTTCAGGAGGTGTCCAGAAACTGATTTTCAGCGAACGCTGTAGGGAGGAGGAATGGCAAGGTGCGGGGTTGCACAAACACACACACACACTCAAACACGCCCTCCCCCCCACACACACACACACACACACACACACACACACACACACACACACACACACACACACACACACACACACACACACACACACACACACAGACAGACACAGACACAGACACAGACACAGACACAGACACAGACACAGACACAGACACAGACACAGACACAGACACAGACACAGACACACAGACACAGACACAGACACACACAGACACACACACACAGACACAGACACAGACACAGACACAGACACACAGACACACAGACACAGACACAGACACAGACAGACACAGACACACACACACACACACACGCACACACACACGCACGCACGCACGCACGCACGCACGCACGCACGCACGCACGCACGCACGCACGCACGCACGCACGCACGCACGCACTGCGCTCACGCACGCGTCGCCGCACGCGCAACGACAGGTCGGAGAAAGTCGAACGAGCCCTCAAAGACCGCAAGGGGTCAAGCAACAGCCGCTGGCCATAGTCATCGAGCATAGATGACGGGGGTCGGACGGGGTAGCCGGAACACACACACACACACACACACACACACACGCATACACACACATGCACACACACACGTTACACACACACTTACACACACTTACACACACTTACACACTGTTTTAAGTCGGCGGCGCAGAGGAACCTCAGGCACGGTCGGCAGGTGGAGGTGCCAATTGCGGACGACTTTAGCCAACCGCGCCGCCATGCCACACACACACACGCGCGCGCACAGCAGCACCCAAGAGGTGGTCCAGGCCGGCTTCTGGCTTCAGCAGGGCTCGCGGTAGCCTGGGGCGGTCTCAACACTCAGCGCCGCCTGCGGCGCCCCCCCGCCCTTACGTAGTGTAGAGGGCGGGATGGCGAGACTGCCCCAGGCTATCCGGGGGCGGCGGCTTCCCACAGCTGGGACTGCCTCGGAGGGCTGCCTGTGAGGAGGCGGGCGCTGCGGCTCGGCTCGACGAATGGACATGCCAGTTTCGCTGCAGCACCATCCTCGAGTCATGACTTTTGGGCTGCCCCGACGGAGGAGGTCCGAGGATGTCCCGTCTTTCGCCCCGCCCGCCTTTGGTGCCGCGGGCTTGGCGTACAGCCGCGCCGCGAGCTCGAAAGCTGCGTGCAGGGGGCAGGGGGGGCCGGCGGGAGGCCAAGGGGAAGGCCCATCCGTCCGAAGGTGCACGTGTCTGCCCCGATGGCCCCGGGTGCCACCCGCCCCCCCTTTCCAGCCGGCTTTCTCTCCCCTCCCGCTCCCTTCCCTTCCTTCCCCTCCCCTCAGTATCCTTCCCCCTCTCCATCGCCCGCCCCTGCGGGAGTCCCCGGGAGCACTCGCGTGCGGGATTCGAGCCGTTTTCGGAACGCGGGGCGACCCAGACGGGAGCGTCCAGAGGCGGATGTTCCGCGCACCGCCGGCGTGGCTTCCCTCCGTCTGCCCCTCCCGTCTCAGCACATCCTGTGTCTGACGATGCTGTTTGCAAGACAGTGTGCTTTCCAATCTCGCAGAGACGCGATCACTCATTGACCCCCCGCAGCACCATCTATATGTCAATCGAGAGCACTACGGGCGCTGCAGGGCGAAATCTAACTTCACACCAGTAGTGTGGGCCACGCGCGACTGAAGTGATCCCAACAGATCTTGAGCCCCCACGGCTACGGAGGAACACACGTACTACAAGCAATCGTTCAACATCAAAGACCCCCAGTGGTCGCCACAGCAGCAAAACTATGCATCATGCACGTGGTGTGAAGTCTGCCCAAAACGCGTGCGACAGGGTTTCGATAGTCGGGGCCAGTTGTCTTAACCGAGTGTCGCGGGTAATAATAGTGACTGCCCCCCTTTTCACCCCTCTATCTGATTACCCGCGGGGTGTATGTGGGTTCAGATTGCCACGAGAGGCGCGGGGGGTGAACTTTGGGCGAACTTTATATTCACCCCAAAGTTCGCATCGTCGCTCTGATCTTTTAACATGGATAGCAACATGAGGACGGCAACCCTTATTATCAATCTCTTAGGAATGTATCAAGCGAAACGAAAGTTTTCGAACATTCGCTGAGCTCGCGACCAGCAGCGGTTCGAGGATGTCTCGAAGACGCTTGATTATGTTATATATATATATATATATAAGAGCTGTCGCGAAGGTGCTTGAGAGGATTTTTCACGCGAGACGCTCAACGTTTCAAGGTTCCTCTCCCTTCTTCGTCCCCGCAGCTGTTCGAGGGCCAAGCCGTTTGATTTCTCTTGAAAGTTTGTTTCCTCCTTCTCCTTCACACATAGAATTGGATGGATCCGAAACTTTGATTTCTCTTGAAATCTCCTCCTCCTCCTCCTCCTCCCTCTCCTCGTCGTCCTCCTCGTCCTTCTGCTCTTTCTCCTCCCCTCCTTTATTTTCTGTCGAATGTTCCGATTAGCTTACTTTTGTTTCTTTTCTTCTCTGTCTCCTCCTCGTCATTCTAATTTCCCTCCCCTCCTTCCTCCCTCTGGGCCCCAGTTGATTGTATTGCTTATCGCCGTCATCATTTATCACCCCAAAGAGCGACCATGAGTACTTCTACACGACGAGTAGGAAACTATCAATATTCATTCAGTGATGCACCTGAAGTTGATAGGGTCGAAACTTCGATTTCTCTTGACATCTCCTTCTCTTCCTCCTCCCTCTCCTCGTCGTCCTTTTCTTTTCTTGTCCTCGTCCTACTCATCGAGCTCCCCAAAGAGGGGCCAGGGTCTCATGGTACCATCGTGTTTCTCAGGATCCGTGGTCACCCAACTCCTCTTGGGAGGCACCGCCAAGGGGCACTAGAGAGGGATCCTGATGTCACTGTTCAATATGTCAGAGGATTCCTCCTCATCGCAGGCCTCCAGAGAGGCTTCCCGACAGGGACCAATGTGCCAGTGCATTGTACCATTTCACAGGTTTGCTGCTCCTCCTACATGTCACTGCACTCCCCCTCAAAGTGACCAATTCGCCGTGAAACCATCGTATTTCACAGGCTTCGTACTCGTCCCATACATCTAGGCATGCCTCCCAAGAGTGGCGAGTGCATCATTGTACCATGCTGTTTCTCAGGTTTCGTGTTTACCCAACTCTTTCAAACAAGCTCCATGGGGAGGCTTCTTCCAGATCAGCTTAGAGGTAATTCGATACCCATCCAGACATCCCAACATCGATATCTCCGGGGAAGATTTACGCTCCTTCCAAGACCCCAGATTTTATTTTCCACTAGGTGCGAGTCTCACAGGCATAGCCTTAGTTGCAGCCGTATGTTGAAGATCCCTGCTCTTGCCAGCGGGGTGCCCTCACCACCTCCTTTCTCGCAACCTCCCTTCTTATTCTCTCCCCCTTCACCACCTCACTCGTAACCACACCTGTCCTTCCCACGTTCTCTTTCAACTCTTTCCCTCCGCGCCACCTCCCTCCGTACCTTCAAAACAATAGGTTCAGGAGTTATGTTCCTCGATGTGGTATGAGCAGTCATAAGAAACATGCAGGCACGTGATACTCCCGTACCTATATGTGAATATGCAGCTTGCCGGCTGGGAACGGGAGCAGACGGTTCGGATAGAACGGAAGATTTCGACCACGGGCCGTTCTGAGAATGTGCCGTATCAATGATATTCCATTTGGAGAGAGCAGCAATGCAAGTATTGCAGTGCGGAAGAGTGGAACAGGATACATGTATTGTGCGTGCAGAGTTGTCTGGGCGGCTTGAACAGGTATTTCGTCTCTTGCGCATCGCCCGCTTGCTACGCCTTCTCCGACTAATCCGGCGCATCAAGGCACGGGGGGCTCGTCGGATTACAGGTTTGTCAGTCAAGCGGGGAATTTGTAGCCACTCAGATTCTGGAACGCGCCTGTGAAAGCGATCGTGACCATGAGAATGTGTTTGAGCGGCGACGTGTGTATATGCATACAAAAATCCACGTGCATACATAAATTTGCATGCGCATCCCTGCACAGATGTCCTTTCGTCGGAGTATCTGCAGCCTTGAGGTCAAGCGAAATGATGATGGAGCGAGTGCGACTCCAGCTTTTGGCGTGAAGACGCTTCGAGCGAGAACTGACCTCTCTTGTGCCAGCTCCTTCCAGTGCCGAGCTTGGACCTGGGCACAGCCCTCCGTGATCTAGTCAGTTCGGTGATACGCGACGGTGCCCCTTCATGTGGCAACGACCGGCGCTATCACGCACCCTGCAGGTCTACCGCCATTCGATCCGATCGAATCGGTCACAGAGAGGTTTGGCCGGTCTGCGATGCGTGGCAGCAGGTGGGCAGCAGTGTTGAGCCGCGCGCCAATGGTCAGTCCGAGGAGGGGGGTTGTTCCGTACAGCACCAGTCCTTCAGTTCATTGCGAGGTAGCGTCCCTGGCAGAATTGCATCCCGTCTCACCCGCCAGCGCCGCTCGGCGACGCCTGTTCGAAGGATCTCGTGAGGATTGTGCCAAAGATCATGTCAAGGCTTCGCATTTCTCCGGGGGGCGGCCGCCGCCGTGACAACTGGAAGGCTTGCCTCTCCGGTGTTGGCCCGCGTATGGCGAGGCGGCTCGGCTGCAAAACATCGCGCCCGGCGTCGGGAAGATCCGAGAGCAGCATCTCGCCTATGTGCACACATTTACAATTGTGTATAATTATGCCACTTGTGTGCATGGGTGTGCCTCTGGCGCCGCTCCAGTTTCCCATAGTCTCACCCCAGAAACCCCAACCATCGAAATGAGATCACATGTTTCCCGCACTCCTGGCATCGCACATCCTGCGTTTTAATTTGATGTTTTGGCGGGGCTCCTGGGAGGGCTCCTCGGCGGGATGTCCGCGGAAGGGATGCCAGAACCACAAATACCCAATTCCATATGACGACGCATGGCTTCCGCACTTCTCAGCCCAGAAATCCAAACAACACCACATGAACACGCAAGGATTCCGCACCCCTGACATCACAAGCCTTGCGTTTTCGGGCGTGGGGATCGGAAACCCACGCCTTGGGAAGCCGACCAGCGAGAGCGGGGCAACGAAAGAGACAGAGAAAGAGAGCGAGAAAGAGAGACAGAGAGAGAGATCACGAGAAAGGGAGACAGAAAGACAGAGCGAGAAAGAAATACAGGTACATAGAAAACGAGAGAGAGAGAGAGAGACAAGGGGTAGTAATAGGGGGAGGAGGCGGAGTAGGAGGAGAAGGAAAGGACGAGCAGCCCCGTGGCAAGTGAATGTTGTTAAGAATGGGAATGGGGTCCACGTATCATGCGTACGCGTGTGTGTATATATATATATATATACACATTCATGTGTATGTGTACATAGATATACATATATAGGTATATGTATGCATGCGCACGCGTGCGTACTCATTGAGTACCGCATCCAGCACAGCTCAAAGTAGTGGCTGCGGCAGAAGAGCAACGGAGGGAAATGGTTGGGGTCGTTGCGCATTGAGAAAGCAACCCGTGCAGATGTTAATGTAAAGGTGTTTGTTGTGCTGTCTGCGTATCAGCATCCGTCAGCGCGTCATGATCTTGCACGCCCCACCCCCCATGTCAAACTGGGTCAGGGCTTCGACGCGCTGTACGCAACGAGCTTAGCACGGGCGAGCCGCATACTTTTTTTTTTGTTCCACGCGTGTGTCCCCTTCTTGCCCGCGCACCTCGCCACCTTTCCCGCGCCCTCGCCCTGCACCTCCCCGCCCTCCCCCCCCACCCCGCCCACCACCTCAAGCGTCTCCTCTTCTCTCGTGGCTCCCGGTTGCTCCTGTCCCCTCCCCTCTCTCTCCCCCCCCCCGCTCTGCCTCCCCCCCCTCTTCCCAGATCCCGGCGACTCGGAGGAACTGTGACGGAGAGGCGTCCTGGCACGTCACGTCTCGGCCCACCAAGGTGGGGCCATCTCCGGCTCGCAGGGCGGTCAAGAAGAGAGCGTCGTGATGAGGGGTTGCTGCCAGGGAACGGGGGCGAGAGGCCCCAGGGCCAGCGACCCGAAAAGCGAGCCGCCGGAGGTCTGGGAAGCACATCCCTCGGCTCACATGCCGTGACCCTTGAGCGTCGCATAAGTATCATTACGGGGGGGGGGGATGGCAGGTGTTGAGATGCTTGTGTAAGACAATGGTCTTTCCATTTGGGCTAATACTTCGGCCTGGGCACGCGCGAGGGTTAACGGGCACGAGCATTTTAAGCTGTTGATGTTGCCAGGAGGGAAAAACCCACGGCGGATGTTTATGTTCCGGTTAGGGCGCCAGGACCTTCCCAGATCGGTTGAGCAAGTTTGCGGAACCACGTGGAAAAATCGAGTTGGGAGTTCCGGTCGTGATGTTTAAACGAAGTCGCGATTTTTGTTCGCAACGTGAGGTTTCGGGGTGCCCATGCAGCCGTTTCTATCCACTTGCGCTTGCCGGGCGATTCCGCCTCCGCGCATATTGTAGTGTGAACAGGTGCCTTGTTTTTTTGCTTGTGTGAGGCGCTGCATCAGTGGATCGTCTGGTCTAGAAGATACGTGTCAAGTATGTGCATACACGTGCAGGCCCGACAGAACCGTGCACAGGAAAACACGAGGTATCTTATCATGTGCGCGCTAGACTGCGAGCAGTGGGTTGCAAGTTCAGAGGGGATGAGAGGAAAAAAGGATGAGGAGGAGGAGGACGACGACAGAGAGGAGAAGAAAGAGGAGCAGGGGGAGGAATTCGAAGAATAGGTAAACGAGGGGGAGGACAAATAGGAGGCACACGAGGAAAAGGCAGAGGGCCTGGAGCAGAATCAGGGGCATGAAGATGCGGTTGCGAGTGAGCGGGGTGTGGGAAAGCTTCGCCCCTTGTAGGGAAGCATTGGGGACCAAGCTAATCCCAAACAGCTGTGTGTGTGTGTTGCCCATAAGTGTTTCAGTTCTCTGCCAACGTGCCGCATTGCCATATTTACCCGGTGACTGCAACCCATCGACGTGTCGGTTTGTCTGTGTGTGCGTGCGTGTGTGTGTGTGTGTGTGTCTGTGTGTGCGTGCGTGTGTGTGTGTGTGTGCGCGTGTGCGTGTGTGTGTGTGTCTGTGCGTGTCAAATGCACGGGCATTCTTCACGTGCTCGGGTTGTCCCGGCGGCGATGCGGGCTGCCTCCCCCCATTCCAAGTTACCTGCATGTTTGTGTATGTGTTGCTCTCCCTCCGGGTTGCTCTGTCGCCTTGGTTTCTTCGGATCAACCACAGCAGGCTCACCTTGTGCAACGGGCGGTGTTGCAGGGGGTCCAGTCACCTGTCCCTCTTTGTGCGGACACGATCGGGATTGGTGCGGAAAAAAACGGGCACGAAGACACATAGCAGGTCTTGCCCATTTTTTACCGGATTCGCTGTCGGCGTTTTGTGGGCCGGTCGCACGTTTCCTCCTGCACATTCTTTGCTCAAGTGTCTTCCCCTCCCTCCGAACAGTCGTCCGCATTCTGAGCTTTACGCCAGACTTTCATGATCTTCCCTATTTGAGTTCGACCCATTCGCGTTTGCCCCTTTCCCCTCCTCCTAGTCTTGCTGCCGCCCTTCCCCAGTCCCTGCCGAGATGCCCACCCACGCGATAAGGTCATGACCACAGCATTTCGTTGCAGCATCTCCATACTGGCTTGGTCTTGCGTGCTGATTCTCATGATCCAGGCGACCGTCCGATCCATGGGGGAGGCAGGCAGGGGGTAGGATGAAGTCGGGCCTGTCCCCCATACAGGGGGATTTTCGACGAAGATTAAAAATACCCCCAACATAGTCCAGAAGTAGTCCAAAAATAGTCTGGGGACTAATTTTTGGTGTATTTTTTACCTTTTTGGAGTATGTGTTGGGGGTATTTTATTTTTTTCGTCGAAAATCCTCCGTGTAGGGGGACAGGCCCGACCTAAGGGTAGGAGGGACGAGCGGGGGGGGGGAAGGAACGAGCTGGCAGCCAGGACTGTGGTCTCCACTTCCCTCTCCTCCTCCTCGTCTTCGTCCTCCTCGTCCTCCTCGTCCTCCTCCTCCTCCTCCTCCTCCTCCTCCTCCTCCTCCTCCTCCACCCTCCTCCTCCTCCTCCTCCTCCTCCTCCTCCTCCTCCTCCTCCTCCTCCTCCTCCTCCTGGTGAGCAGGGAGTTGGAAGCCACGAGGCGGCAGCCAGGACTGGCGAGGAGCCGGGCCCGCGCCCGGGCGGCCCTGCCTCGGGGTGTCGGCAAGGGAAAAGGAGGAGGAGGAGAGGGAGGAGGAGGAGGAGGAGGAGGAGGAGGAGGAGGAAGGAGGAGGAGGAGGAGGAGGAGGAGGAAGGAGGGGGGAGAAGAAGCCGGAAGGAGGAGGAGAGGAGGAAGCAGGAAGGAGGAAGGAGGGAGGAAGGAGGGAGGAGGGAGGAAGGAGGAGAGGAGGGAGAGGAGGAGGAGGGGAGGAGGAGGAGGAGGAGTAGGAGGGGAGGAGGAGGAGAGGAGGAGGAGAGGAGGAGGAGGAGGAGGAGGAGGAGGGAGGAGAAGGAGGTGGAGGAGAGGAGTTGGAGGAGGAGGAGGAGGAGGAGGGGAGGAGAAGGGGGGAGGGGAAGGAGATGGGGAGGACAGGGTTTGGCGCCGCGGGCGTGGTGCACCCATGGCTTCGCAAAGGAAAAAGAGGGCAGGAGCAGCAGGGACAAGGACCAGGAGCAGGGGCAGGAGCAGGATCAGGAGCAGGAGCAGGAAAGGGGTGAGAGCGCGAACAAAAAGGAGGAGGAGGAGGAGGAGGCGAGGGAAGACGGAGGAGGAGCAAGAGGAGGAGCAGGAGCAGGAGGAGCAGGACCAGGAGGAAGAAGGGGAAGGGAAGGAGGGGCCAGAGGGCGGACATGAGGTCGGGAGGGAGGAGAGGAAGGAGGTGGCGTCCGTTCGCCTTGCTGCCCTGGCCTCTCAGGGTCTTCGAACTGGCACGGGCACACCCCGAGCATCGCTCGGACGTGTGCCTCTGTTCTCGGCGAGTAATTAAGCGCACGACGTCGGAGCATGCAAGGAAGAGGGACGTCCGAGCGATGGCCCGCCCGCCGTGCGATCGCGCAGGAGGGGGGAAGGCCACGGCAGGAAAGGTGTTTGCAGGTGCCTGCGTGAGCAGCGCTTGCCCCAGACGGGGGTCCAGCTGACCAGGGAACTTCAGGAGGGGAAAAACACAAAGACATACTCAATCGTCGATTCCCATGAAAACATGGGAAAATATGGGAAGTGGTGGGGAAGACAACCCCCCCAAATATGGTAAAATATGGGGAATAGTTTTATTTGTGTGTATTCATTTGTGTGTCCCAGGGCCCCTTCGGAAATGTCTTCCGGCTGCCGCGCGGGCTCCCTCGGCGCTGCTCGCGCGCGAGGCCGCATGCCGTGCGGCTCGCGCCTCTTCCGCGCGTGTCGGTCGTGGCCGCGCGCGGCGCGGCCTCACGCGACGAGGGGCGGCCAGACCCCTTCGGACCGTGAGCGCAATCACTCAGGAGGGAAAAAAACACACAGACACAATCAATCGTCGATTCCCCAGAAAATATGGGAACATCTGGAAAGTGGGGGGGAAGACAAAAACCCCAGAAATATGGGAACATATGGGGAATATTTCGATTTGTGTATATTTATTTTTGTGTGTGTCCTGCAGTCCGTCTGCCGTGATTGAAGGGGGCCCATGGGGCCCCTTCAATCACGGCAGACGGACTTCTGCTCCCGGGCCCCCGCCGGGACCGACGAGAGACGAGGCTCGGGGCGGAAAGGCCGCTCGAGTACGCCGGAGCTCGGGTCTGCCGGCGTGTTCTGACGAGCGCGGTCCAGGATTCTGACGGTGCAGTTTCCGTGGGATGTCTGCAGCGAGAGTTCGCGTCAGATTTCAGATGGGGTCTCGTCGTTTTTATGATGGCCCCGTCAGGCCAACGCGCGTCCCCCGCACCCGAGTCTTACGTCTCCCCGAGATCGGCTCGAGACCTCGGGGGCGTCCGCGCTGCGGGGAAGGGAGGGCGATTCGGGGCATGCAGCCGGGTCAAGGTGGGGGAGAAGGGCCATGGTTGGCGAGCGGGGGTGGAGGGGCTAGGGGAGGCGATGCGCCGATCAACGTCCCGGGGGACGGCCCGATAAGAGGCCGGCGAGGGCGCTGGAGCGCCAGCTGACGAGTGGGGCAGGAGGACAAGAGGGGCCTGGAGCCAGAGATGGAGGCAGCCCAGATGGGATGCGTCTCGTGACACCGCTGGGGGGGGAGCATCGGAAGGAGTGGGCGCGGAAGGCTCGGAGGAGGTCTGGAGCGTGCCGAGGCGGATGGCCGCGGGCCGCGGCAGGAGTCGGCGGCTTGGCTGCCGAGGGCGTGCAAGAGACGAGGCGCCCCGCCCGCCGACGCGTCCGGAGGTGGCCATGCGGCGGCCGCTCGGCCGCCACGCGAGGCGGGCGGCTCGTCAGCAGCAGCGCGCTGCGGCGCCGGCCGTGCCTCGCCGGCGCCGGCGCCAGGGCTGCCGCTGCATGGCCGCGGCCTCCGGGTCCGAGGTTCGTCGAGGTGGGGCGCGCAGTCTGCAGCTGCCGCCGCGGAGGCAGGCCTCCGCGCCGGGAGGCTCAGCATCATGCTGGCCTTCTTCGTGGTCCTCGCGCCGCGCGCCCGGCCCGAGGTGACAGGGGATGCTGCGCTCGAACCGCAGCTGCACCCCAGGAGCAGGGCCGCCGCTGGAGTCCTGGGCCGCGGCGCGAGGCCCTCGCGGGGAGCCCATGCCGTGCACGCCCCTGCAGGCGCCGGCCCGTGAGGTGCTGCGCAGGCCTCGCCTGCTCGGCGTAAAGACGGAACGCCGCGGTGCCTCGGCCCGCCAGCCAGTTGCGAGGCTGTGGCGCCCGCCGGCTGGATGGCACCAGATGGCCGCACGGGCAGTCGCCAGCACCCTTCGGCTACACGCGAGGGCGGCCCGTCGCCGGGGTTGCCTCTGGGTGCGGGCTCCTCGGGTCCCCCCCTGATCGCGGAGCGCGGTGCGATGTAGCGGCTGCCTGCGCGCTCGGGTGCGGCCACCCTGCCCGCCCAGGAAGCCGCGCACCGAGGGCCACCCTTGCCCGGGGCCGCTCCTGCGTGTACCAGGAGAGGAAAAAACACACAGACACAATGAAGCCTCGATTCCCCCGAAAATATGGGAAACTATGGGAAGTGGGGGGGGAAGACAGAAACCCAGAACAGATGGGCAACATATAGGGGGGAATCTTTCTATTCGTGTGCATTTACTTGCGTGTCCTGGGGCCCCTTCCGTGCAGCCGAGTCCCGGGCCCGCGGCGCCGCCGCTGCCCGCGCGCGCCGTGCCGCCGCGCGGGGCCCTGGTGCGCGGGCGTGGCGCGCGTGGCACCTGCAGGGATGCGTGGCGCGCGAGCACCTTGCAGGGATCCGCGCGCGCGCGGGGGGTCCGGCAGGCCGCCGGGCGCCGCGGATGATCCCGGGGGTGGACAGAAGCCCCAACAGTGGCACGTCGAGTAACTAGTGAGTTATCCGTTCTCGGTGCTCGAGGGGGCGCCGTGGCCGTCCTTTTCCAGGCTTGCGCCCGCCGGGTTTGGGCCTCGGGCCGTTTTCACTAAACCACGTTTTACCTCCTCCTCCTCGAGGAGGAGGTAAAACGGAGGAGGAGGAGGAGGAGGAGGAGGAGGAGGAGGAGGAGGAGGAGGAGGAGGAGGAAGGGGGTCTATCCATCCCCGAGGATGGATCGCGGGGGGCCGTTGTGTGCGACTGCAGGCAGGGCGCCGGGCTTGGCGGAGAGCAGCAGTGCCGCGGCCCGTCGGCGCCTCAAGGTCGGGGAGGGCGTGGTGGGCTCGCGTTTCATCTGCGGTGGCATGGGGCACTCCAGAAAGGGCCTCGCCTTCGAGGATCGAAGGAGGTGGCATCTCTTCCGCGGCGGAAGGTTGGCGGAAGGCGGAAGGTCGGCGGGAGTGAAACGGGGGACGCCCCCGACCGTGAACGGTACGACCGCATTCATCATGCATAGGAAAGAAAAAACGCGTTAGGCAGGGCCGCAGGGGAGATCCGCGTCCTCAGGTACCTCCCCGTGCGCCCGCCTGGCCTCCACCTCCCGACCCAGGGCCTCCAGGTCCTCGCGGGCGAGGCCGATCAGCGCGAGGCCCCGGATCAGGTCCGCGGCTGGAGCCTCGCGCACACGGCCGTTGGACCTGGCGGCCTCCCGCGCTTTCGGGGGTCCCTGAAGGCCCTGGGACCAGGCGGTGAAAAAAGGGGCCCACTCACACCTGACCTCTGGGGAGGGGTGCCCTGCATACGCCATCGTGAGCCTCTGTGGATTCCGATGGGCTGGATATCGTCCAGCACGAAACTGGTCCAAGTAAAAGGTGCGGCCCCCAGAGGCCAGGGGCCGACACCTCAAACGCAGGTTTCCCTGTTTCGTGCTGGAATGTGCCATGGCTCCGCATGCTGTGCAACAGAGCATATTGTCATGAAGCGTGAGACCATCCGATTCACATACACACACATCACTCTGCTCCAGAGTGTGCCCCAGCTGGCACCAAGCTCCCAGGGTCGGAGGGGACACGATCTTCTGAGGCCGCTCGCTAGTAGGGTTCCCCTGGGCCTCAGGAGGCCCACCAGCCTGGCCAGGAGCCCCTGGACCACCAGGCGCTCCCGACTCTGGCACCGAAGCCCCAGGGAGGGGCAGCCCAGGAACAGCATCCAGCAGGACGTGGCTTAGCCATTCCAAT